CGCTATTGCAACCATAAAACGTAATGTGTGCAGTGTTACATTAATTTAAATTTTTATGACTTTCCGATAGCCCATAGCAATGGATACAAATAAACTATATTATTCTTTATTTAACTCTTATATACTAGAATATTCTACAAAAACCAAAAGATTGTGCCAGGATGAACTTGTTATAAAGTGGAAATGTATCAAGAATGACACAGATCTGGCTTAAAAAGTTAACCATACGTTGCAAGAGCTCATGGCGATCTCATTTATGAAAAGTTTCTACTGTACAACAGACTGATGCCTAGAATATCTTTACTTCTGAAACATCGCCTTCTACAAGCCATTTGGATACTCCGAGAAATGCCAGTTTAATTACATTTGAAGTCCTAAGTTGATGTCATAAATTCTGACATCGTTGGTTGTATTATCGGCAGAAACAATGACTACTTTCAAATGAGCAGAACTTAATAGTTAAAAGATAAAAATGGAGTAAAAGTGAGTTTTGAAAAGAAACTATAAAGCTGGCTTCAATTTTAGTCGAAGTGGACTATACCTTCGTCTACTTTCTAAGCGCAGTTCGTCGTCAGAAGGTAAGTGTCACGTAACCACTGTCCCAATAAAGTGAATTAAAGCGCAAAATGATATCACGCTAAAAATAATGATGGCCAGTTTTGCACAGCGACAACAAGACATTTGGAAAAACTGTCTTCTACGCTTGGACCGGATGAGGTTTGTTTTATCAGCCAGGACGATAAATGTCGCGTCCCAATTGGTCTGGTCACTGCCAATAAGCAGAGTCCACTGCTAATGCACTTTGAGTATAAAGTAAGCCTTCCTGACCATGACTGGGTAGTTGCTTCCCGGCACAAGCCTATACCCTCGGTGTATGCCTGCATTGACATCTATCGCAACGTTCTTGGAAACAGAGATAATATTGACTTTTCTGGCACAACTTTTATAGCCATTAGATCTGGAAAATACTCCACATCAACAGCACTCAGCCGTGGATTTGATTTTGAAAAGCTGCTGTGTCTGACCGAGTTCGATACCATAACCAGGACTGGTATTGATATTTGGTGATGGTGGTTCAAATGAAAACCCACGGTAACAAAAGGTCATTAAGGTTGCTATCCACCATTTCTTGAAACAAGATCTTGACTCTAGTCTTCGTTGCAACAAATGCTCAGTGTAGAGAAAGATGGCAATATTTAACAGGGAATTGAGTGGATTATTATTACCTCATGACAACTATTTAGACGGACGAGGTAAGACAATTAACATTGAGCTAGAGAAAAAAAACCTTTGAATTTGCTGGAAAAAACTTTGGCTGAAATATGGTCACAGTTGACTGTAGACAATTACCCAACCATTGCCGAGTATTTGGATCCATTCAATTCAGAGCTCATAGAACAGGATATACTGTTTAGAAATCAAAATTGGTGTGACACCCATGTCCGCTCAAGCCAATATTTTCTTCCGATTATGAAGTGTGACGACAACATGTGCTGTTCGAAAGCAGGAAGCTCTTACTTCAGCGTTTAAAGACAGATTTCTTCCTCCTCTTTGCCCCTTCTTCAAACATGTGAAGGGCTTAAAGTTCCATATCGAGCAACAGATGGAGCCTTGCACAAATTTCGATCCATATTTTCAACTCGGTCTCAAAACGGAAGACATTCTACTTGGGTCAGCAAACACATTTCGGACCATTCCTTACTAACTTTATTGCCCTTCACTTCAATCTGCGCTGAATGAGAGAATTTGCAAGATATGCCACATATACTTCAGCTTTCTGGCCATGCAGTCGTTCACAAACAAATAGCAGTTCCATTGAAGTGCATCAGATAAATTTGAATCGAAGATAGAAGGCAACGAGAAATGATGATCATACTAGCAAATGAATGGAGAAAGTGTGGATTGGATTGACGATGAGGAGCTTGATTTGGAGGGAATATCCCTTCCAATAAATGACGTTAATCTAGAAACAAATGGACTTCTTGTTCCTTCAGTGGAGGAGATTGTACTTTGCCTTGGGATAACCATAACTATGAAGAGGAGTAATTTATCTACAAATACTGCAGATTTTAAACCATGAGAATTTTTGTGGATTTGTTGAAACTTTAATATTAGTTGTTATTGTTATAGGGTTTAGCGCCATTTTTTTTAGCACAATATATGCTATAAATGAAGGCCAGTATAAATGTTGAAGAACCCGGAAAACTCCGAAAAGAACCACTGAACCACGAGGAGCTACTGGCACGCTTTCTCACGTATCCACATCGGCTTAACCAGAGACTAGAATCAACGCAGGCAGGCAGGTGTGTGTGTGTGTGTGTGTGTGTGAGAGAGAGAGAGAGAGAGAGAGAGAGAGAGAGAGAGAGAGAGAGAGAGAGAGAGAGAGAGAGAGAGAGAGAGAGAGAGAGAGAGAGAGAGAGAGAGCAGTGATCCGTAATGGTGAACGCTTTAGACCACTCTGGGTCACTTAATGTTAGAAAAAATTGAAGTGACTGATGCTTAATTTACTTTTTCGATTTTTTTTTGTTTTAAATAAAATTTTAAAAAATAATTGTATAAACTTTTAGCAAGCCAAGCAGTCCTTGTAAAACATGATTAATTAAACACTTTTACATAAATGACTGTTTTGTCTGTATAGTTAACTGATTTACATTCACTTTTCAGAATTAAAAGAAGTCGTGGAAAAAGGGAAGTGAGGTGTAGAGATTTGTGTGACGTCACATTGAAGAGGGTATGGTTTTTGTAATTAAGTGTGGCGAGGGTGGGTGTCATAAAATGGCAAAATTGCATGGTCACATGTTGAAAACCCCTTTCTCTGGAAGCATGAAACATTTGGCACTGCATTAAAAGTGAGAAAAAAATAGATTTACTTTTTTTCTCTGCTAAACGGCATTACTACTGAACTGTACTTGTTTCTCCATCAAAAAATGGCATGGAATGTATAGATTTTACCTGTCCTTAATGTTGATTCGGATTAGTCTCATAAAGGTACCACGAAAGTCAGATTATGCACCTACCCCACATCTAGTAGTCCCCGATATCGATAATTTAAATGTTTGTGCATAAATTATATATTTTTCTTTTTCTTTTGCAAAGCAACATTTTGATCCCAAAATCAATATGCTTTTCCCTTACCCAACATTAAAACCATTCACCAAGTTTGACAGAGGACTGAACTAATGGTATTGTGCTAATTTCTTCGTCCAGTGACTTTGAATGTTGACCCAAACATCAACAGCCTTAATAATACCCCAAACACAAGTCATCCACAAATTTTACTCATGGTATGTCATGTAATAATGCTCCTGTCCTGAAATCACTCATTTTATTCTATCTGTGACTTTGACTAAATTAATAAAAATCAACAGTTCTTCCAGACAGTAAATGCAAACTATCCACATTTGGTGAACCAGTTTTCTTGAATGACCTTAACCTCTGAGGATAGTAATTAAAACTTCATCCTTTCTCATAGTGCAAAACATCCACAAACATTTTTAATTAGTGAAGAACGAGTTCTTGGACAGAAATTGTATTTCATGCATCAGTGACTTGACCTTTGACCATTAAATAGGGTTCATCATTACTCAAAAAAGTGTTAACTGTAGATCATGGACAACCAAAATTATTATGCAGAAACCAAGCAGTCACCAGATGAACATCAGTTTAACACAATATGCTCTGCCTTTTGACAAGTAAATAAAAATCTTTCAAGGAAAGTTCCAGAAACTTGATACATGTATTAAACTTGCTTATAGGTTACTTTTTGCTAACGATATACCATCTTCAGCATCTTTATGACATGTCCTAAAGTCAACTCAAAAGTTGACAAATGAAACTTGCAAGCTTTTTTGTATGTATATGTAGACAAACCTCAATTATTTGCAATCAATTTTTTCTCTATTTTTATGCATTTTAAACTTTGGATATTTTTCACAAAATCCTCATTGACTTAAAGAGACTCTTCATGATAACACAAAAATACATGCAAATAGATCCAATTTCTTCAATTGTTATTGTACTAGAAACAGAAATAACTGAAACCTTAAGATCTGTCCAGTAAAATAATAAAATAGAGTCATACATACAATTATATTTTTTATAAGGGATAAACAACATATCAATACAATTTTATATAGTGCATTGTTATTAAGGCCATTAAGATACAAAATCTCCAACTTGTCCAACAAGTTCCTTTTGAGTCTATTACTGTCTCTACACACAATATCAATTGGCATGAAAGAAAAAAGCAGTAGTGATTATTGGTATTAAAATGTGTTGAAATGTCAGGGATCTATATAATTTTTATCTGAAAGTAACGATTATTCATTCTCATAAAGACTTGTTGAAGAGCTTGTCCAACATAATGCGTGTTACATTTTTCACAGGTTATCAAATAAATCACATCAGTTGATACCCAGTTAGTGCTATAATGTAGAGAAAATACTTTTATACTGACACTACTAAAAGCTTTTTTCTCAAAACATTTTGTGCCTGAAGAACAATACAGTAAATGTGAAACTAGTTGCACAGAATCATCAGTTTGTGTTGGTTCTTTTTAAAAATCCCAATTTTAAGACCTATATCTAGGATACCCACATTTTCTACACTAGTGTAAATATCAAGTGCAGAACGTGTTGTACATTCCACTGTTAATGTTTCACGCAGCTTTTCAAGTGCATCAAAACTGTAATATAATAAACATATAATCATACTCTCATTCAAGCCACTTAGAACTGTTGTCCCAAAATCTTTGGAGTTATGTGATGTGATTATGATTTTTAATATAGCTTTAATAATTTTTCAGTCATAACGCTACGATGTCTGCAGTGTGGCAGTTTATAGTGAAGTCTAGCACTGGGGCATCATGCTGCAGACATGTGGCATGATGTCCAACCCAGTCACATTATTCTGCAACCAGGAAGACCAGTCCTAACTCTAACCTCTTAATGCTGAGTGTAAAGCGTGGCAGCGGTTAGTACCATTTTTGTAAGTGTTTGGTATGACTCCACCGGGGAATGAACCCACGAAATCCGCATCTGAAGCGGACGCTCTAACCACTAGGCCACCAGAGCAGTTTCTTTGGAGTGATGTTCCAGTTAAACATATTTGGTACTCTCGATTACTCAGGTAGTCCATATGAAAATGATACAAAATTGTAAACTACATCTATGGGTAGCTTCCTTTGGTCCCATATATGGCTTGCCAACTGATTTGTTTAAATAAAACCAACACTTGAAATCAAAACAATCACTTAGAGTGATACATCTTATGAATAAATCTAGATGTCTGTCAAGTTTTGTTTTGTGGTGGTCTACAGCAATTGTTCAGCACATGATACCAAGCCAGAATATCTGATACAGGGTAAAAAAAAACAACATAGTAGAACACAGCTACCTCAGGGCTCCCAATAAGCTTTGTGTACACTAGTTGCACGCACAAGAATCATGCCAATTCCACTGCATATGCAAGAATTTAAAGGATGTGTGATGGATGGACAAATCTATGGGTATAAAAATCAAGACATGATCGCTAAACTAAAACAAAAGAAAAACTTTTCTTTGAAATTATTTATTTCATAACAAATTCATTCTTGTCCTACAGACATACTCAATAATAACAAACTGAATGTATATAAATGGATTATGTTTGACAAGTAATGATTTCACCAGATAGGTAGATATACTAAAATGAGCAATATGAAAAAAAATGATAGAGCAATGAATTAATTAATTTTGCATAAAATATCAGACAACATATTTTGTAACTTAATCTAGCAAATATTCATTTCTATTTTTAAAGGTGATGTAATGAACATTTATTGATCATGTACCGAATATTTCCACAATGAAGTTTCATTTCTCCCACTTCAACATTTGAAGATTCAGAACACAAACCCTGACCTGCTGACATATTATGCAACAGCAGATCAGGGTCCACTTTTTTAGTCGGACTCTTCTTCTAATGGAGTGTGTGAGAATATATATATATATATATATATATATATATATATATATATATATATATATATATATATATATACACATACACACACACATTATTTAATTTTTCATCACTCAAGTATCATTACATGTCAGTTTTCCCAACTCACGACATAGGAAAATCCAGAAAATGCTGCCATTACTTTTTAAAGCTTTAAGACAAAAGCCTTCATCTTTTAAAACAATAACTAATGTTCCTATGCATACAGTGATGTCATGTTTGTATCTGAAACTCAATACACCTTAATGCAATACATTGAAAGACCCCATTTATCTGCGGTGGATATATCAGAAGTTACGTCATCATTTGTCTGATATACAGAATAGTGACAGAAAAAACCCCCTTTGGACAGATGATATTGATCACAAAACTCCCCCTTTATAACGCTGTTAAATGGTAGCCATACAAGTGGTGCAATAGAAGTGCAAGTCTTGTACTCAGGCATGCCTCAGCAAAGCTGCATCCTCCTTCAAGATGCTGCCATTAAAATATTTAATAATTTAAAATCGCATAACTTATTCTTGTGCAACAAGAAATTTAAAATGTAAAAATTTAAATAAGAATGGTAAATAAAAAACTGACCCAATTTAATGGGACCAATGACCACACCTTCATTACAAGAGGGAGAGAAGTGTTTTGAAGGGTTCCATAAAGACAGTGGGACTCCTCAATCTGAACATAAACTTCAATTTAGCTAAAAGAAAAAAAAATTTAAAAACATAAAATGACTTCACTTCCATTGCATCACATTCCATTCCTAGTCAAATATAACTAAAGCAGAGTTTCTAGCACAATTTTTCTATACATTTCACATTTGTCTATCCATGGATGAAGTAGATGTACATATGGAGTGCTCACCACATGTAACCAAGGTTTATGAAAAACATGACATATTTCTTTGTTGTTGTTGGTTTAATGCCATTTCTCAGCACTTGATAGGCTACACAAGGTCACCAGTGTAATTGGTGGAGGAAGAACTGGGCAAAATGATATCATGAACTACCAGTCTACAGGAAGCTACTGGCAAGCTCTATCACATACCCACCCTGGCAGTGACTGGTAAAGGCAATCCCTTTAGACCACTGACACAGATTTCTATTTATGATACTATTCACACAACTATGGAATGCCTTTGTAATGCTCTCATACACTTAGTCCGAGTCTATAGTAATTTCTCTTTCTGTATACCGATTAAAAGATGAAGTAGCCCATGCTGAAACTAAAAGGCTGCAGAAATTATCTTTTATCTCTTCTTCCTCGCTCTCTCAGAAGTTCATTCAGAGTTGTCAGCTTGCTCTTTTTTGTGCTTTTTCTTTTTTTTCTTTTTCTTTTCTGAAGAAACCTGTAAATACAAAAGAGTAATATTCTATAATAAAGAACTTGTCAGCATCAATGGGAAGAAACAATATTGTTCATACTTCATATATACCATATTTTCTGAGACCCAAATACTTTATTGGTATAAAATGTACAAATTTCTGACCTAAAGTATACAGTAGTTAAAAAGTTTCATGCATTTTTGATTAACATTGAACTGCATACTCCCTTTTAGGTGAATCATAATTTATGCAAAAATACATCCTTTAGCATGGAGTTTGGTCTTATATATTGGGCATATTATCTTATCCAGATGGATGTTATTGTTTACTTTAGTATTTATGAACACTTCTCACGAAGATAAACTGCAAACATGGTGAACGTTTGTCTCAGTCTAATTACAACATTCTGAGGGTCATCTTTGAATAAACTATAACCATAAATGTTCTTTCTGTGTTCAAGACAGATGGTAATGATTGGTTGGTACTCTAAATCAAATTCAAATAAATACAGCGGCTATATAAATAATTTATTTCTGTGGGGAGTGCCCAATGATTCCTCAAGATGACTACAGCAGATGATGATCCAAACTCATTATCACCTTTACTAGTCAACTAATAGGCTTATGTCTCTCTTGACAACTATGGCTTCATATTCCGCAAATAAAAATTTGTATAGTCACAAACTGACTTACCATTATATAGCACCATGACGTTAAATGGCTAATGTATATTTGTACTGCAATAAAATTAATTTATTTCAAAGTGAAGTCAATAACCAGTTATAATTTTTATACCATACTGTTGTTAAAAACATTTTATGTTGAATTAATGAGGCAACTTTCATTTCTGCTGGAAGAGGCATCAAAACATACCAAAACTTCATGCTAAAGTATGGAATAAAGATTGAATAAGAGTCCCTAAATGGGATTGACACTAGACTGAATGAAAAGAATTTCGAGGAATTCTAGATAGGACTGGTTTTCCTTTTTAACTGCTATGTTCTGAAACCAACTTTGCTATTCTCAAGTGACAGAATTTTTAACTAGCCAGCGTGGCAACCATACTAATGTTGAATCAGCACCATTTTTCTTTTTGGTGAAAACTTGATATGACCATCCATCCTGGAAAATCAAATTTAACTACAACTCATAATTAGTCTTTGTGTCAATTTCACCTTCCACAAAGGTAGTTTTTAAAATGGCAGCCATTCATACTGGATATCCCAGCAACATCCATTTCATTTGGTACCAAGTAAACATCACAAGAAGTCTTCTGACGAAAACCCAATGCTAATAATTTTCTAACTAGGAATTGTGACTAGATTTTCAAGATGGACCCTGTGACTACCCCACTCTAAGAAAACTGTCAAAATTTTTATTTAAGAACCAGAGACCATAAGAAGTTGGAGAAAATTTGATGCTGATAAAGTTTCCATTTTGAAGGTGTATCAGCAACAAGACTTTCAACATGTCTGCTGTGGTGGCCAAAACAGATGTCAGAGAAGAAGCAATACCAGCTAAGCATCAAAAGAAGCATTATGGTAAAAACTCCATCTTGATAGGACCGTTTGTTCAGGTGGAGTAGTGGTAACAAGAGTTATGAAGATGGTCACTGGCCATTCAAGTGGAACAGTAATAAGGCTTCCCAAATTTCTGCCTGGATAGCCATTTTGAATATATCAACACCAGTTTCATTTAGAATCAACCAAACATAAACTAAAAATATTTTAGTGTGCGCATTTTGAATTTCTAACGTAGTCTTAACAATATTTCAGTCATACTGCAATGATTTCTGCAGTGTGGCAGTTTAAAGTGATGTCTAGCAATGGGGCATCATCATGCCGCAGACATGTAGCATGATGTCCCACCAAGTTGCATTATCCCGACACCAGTCCAAAGACTAACCTCTTAATGCTGAACACCTAGTAACACATCTGTTAGTAGCATTTTCATGTCTTTGGTATGACTCTGCTGGGGTTCAAACCCACGATTTCCAATGTCCGAGACTGATGCTCTAATTACTAGGCCACCAGAGTCTTTTAGTGACCATCCATTCAGAAGTAGCAACAGCATCAGTTTCAAAAAGTAAATGGGGAACAATTGTTTTGCTTGATCCACTAGACATCAAAAGAATCTTTTACAGGAAGCCCCCATGCTATTATGACTTTCTGTTCAGAAGTAATACAGATAAAATGGCTGATAAAACTGGATGAATAAATAAAAAAAAAAACAAAAAGTAAAAAACCAAACAAACAACAAACCCCAAACAAAAACAGGTTTTTACTTAGAATGAATGCATGTACAGTTATATGACAATCCTCCAAGTAGTTTTGGCTGAGTGGTAATAACTGGACAGAAAAAAGATGTTGGAAAACAAACCAAGGCAGAGAAAACGTATCAAATTCAATATTTATAATTCAAGAAATAAACTTTATTGAACCTGATTCTCTTCCATTCCCTCCTTCAGCTTTTTCTTCTTTTTCTTTTTCTTCTTTTCTGACTTGGGTGATTCCACTGCAGATGAGGGTGTGACAGGAGGTGCAGTGGTATTTACTTCATCTGAGCTAGCACCGCTGCTGCTACTTATTTCACGTTTCCTCTAAATAAAAGAAGAAAAAAAAAATAATTAGAATTATCCTCTTTAATGTAGTCTTGTCCTCTTTCACAATTAAGATTAAGGAACTTGACTTCTTGCTGGATTATTACAGTGATGTGTTCCTGGTGATATTTATGTGCAATTTTACACACCTCTGCT